CCCCGCTCCGCTTCGCTTCAAGCCCCGCGCCCGCGACGCCTTTGGCGGATCGGCCCGCGCGGTCTCCTTCCCGGCCGATGCCGCGTGCTCCGGGGTTGCCGGCTCTTCCTCTGCCGGTCGGCGGCGGTCCGCATCAGAAAGTTCGTAAATTACCACCATTGGTATTGAAGCCATTTGGGTTACTTTTTTTAAAGTTATTCTTCGTATGTGTAAGCATGACATATATGCATCCTTTCAATCATTTTATCATCTCTTCTTCATTTTAAGTCTTTGTTATATGTCTTTGGATGCGTATTAGTATGTTAGCATTTTTCTTATTTGCTTTATTTGATTTGCATGATTTGCACGAACAAATAAAAAAAAAAAACTAGATGCTTGGAAATAACTAGCAAAGTTATTTATGCAACTTTTTTTGTTATTCAACAACCATAATGAGCAATTCTTGTGCAAAGGTTTTTTTGGAAAGTACTACTTTGCTCTGGTAAGTTATCATCTTCTAACTTAAGAAGGCCGACGAGCTGAATTTGCTATTGAACGTTGACATTCAATATATATATATATATTGTATTTCATTCACTTGTACCACACACATAAGAGAGACTGTGTAAGGTGTTGCAAAATGGTATGGATTTTTTCATGAAAAATGTGATGGCGGCATTTCCTGGGCTGGAGCTTCTGATGGTGCATTTGAATCGGACAGCCATGAGGGCTGTGATAAGCGGCTAACTATCATGCTGGAGGCCGTTCTTAATTGTACCATGCATCATGGTTGACAAGACCTGCATGTTGGTGCTGCTTTAGAGACCATCATGGGGATTAAGCTCTGGGTTTGGGATGGTAAAAGGGTATATTGGGTGAGCTGCTGCACCTTGGTTTTCTGTAGCATGTCAATTTGTTTTGTTACAGTTGTACTAAGGAGTTGGGAAAAAAAACTTGGAATCACTTGTGAGAGAATGCTTTATACACACTGAAAGTGTTTGATATATTGCAGATAGATGGTTTTCCGACTCTTGTTCTTGTGAGAGTCCCTTTTCAACTAGCAGGCCTCCAACTGCTTGTGGATAATGGATCTATAGAAATCTGACTATTATTAAATGTAACCTAAGACAAAACTATCTTTGTGATCTTAGGATGAGCTTGGGTAGTATTGAGATGACAGGTTGATTGTGTAAGTTTTGGGAATGCAAGGGTTGTAATCTAGTCATGCAGATGAGCTAAGTTCCAAATGGTGGCTTGCTAAGTTGTGACATTTAAAGCATTTTACACCCAGCTAAAGAGTCATTCATTTTTTGTTATTTGCGTTTGTAAATATTGGGTAATTGGGTTTAAGTTAAACTGAATGAATCTCTGCCACCAAGTGTAATGCAACTTGACTATTAACATAGCATCCAGCTGAGATCTCTGGTCATGATATGGACTAAATCGTACATGATATGGACTAAATCGTACTATTTGTCATTGTTGAAGTCATCATTTTTTTTTGCATGTAATTATTGGCTGTTGGTAAAACTGAATGAATCTCTAAGCAGGCATAGTGCAATATGGCTCTGAACTTAACATTGACACTTTTAAATAGTATCAGAAGGTTGATTGGATATTGGATTTAAATTTTTTAAATAAACTTAAAAACAACAAAAAAATGATAGAATTATAGTTGCTTTTTTAATTCTTACAAACATGCTTGGGTACATATGGCTTGGTGTAGTAGAGTGGCAGATCTGCAGGGTGAGTGGCATGTTTTGGTTGTTGTTTCACATGGGTATATTTGGTGCGTGTGAGTGGTCAAGAGCATTTTCATGTTAGACTATGTATTAGCGTGTGAGTATGCTATGTGAATATTGGTGCTTATTTTCTGGATTTTTTCATAATTAAGAAGAACCCATACATGCACACGACCTTATGTTCTGCGCATAAATGTTGATGCCTTCAGTTCATATTGAATTCTCTTTTTTGCAGAGTATATGCATGGTGGAAGCCTTTATGACTATATGCACAAGCAGAAGAACATCCTGGAGCTCTCATTGTTGTTGAAGTTTGCCCTTGATGTATGCAATGGGATGAACTACTTGCACCAAAAGAACATCATCCACAGGGATCTGAAGACAGCTAACCTGCTAATGGACAACAACCAGGTACGCAGGCTAAAATTAAACCTTTTTGTTGAACTATGAAATTTTATATTTCATGGACTGTTATTTCCCTGCGATATGGTTAATAAATAATTGAGAATTTATATTAAAATAGTCCGTTGGTGTTGCTAACCTTTTGTTAATAATTATCTAATGAATCATGACGATTTTTATTGGATTTGCTTTATGAACTATCACCATTAAGTTCATTTTAAGAGCTATATTGAGTGGATTTTAGTTTAGTTTGGCAATTTTAAACAACTTCTAACTATATTTTCTTTTCTTCATACTTTAATAAAAATTTAATTGATAACCTTTTTAATGCTTCTACTCTCTTACACATGGCAAAGCCAATCAATACCCAAAAGATTGTACTTTATCATATTTAAATGAATGTGTAAATTGGACAAAGCAACACCATTCATCGGGGTCTCTAGACATTTAGATACCAAGCTTGCGGTGGGCAAATTTTTTTTTTTTAAAATAGTTGAGAATACCATAAGGAAATGCTCATTTTTCATAAAGTAGAAGTGGTACTTAATTTATAGGAGATACAAGTCCTCTAAAATAGGAAGAGAGCTAAAGGCCAAATCGACCACATGATTAAATGGAAGAAATAAGCATGTTAATAGAAAGCATGTTACTAAAACTATTTAAAAATTTTATTAAATGAATGTGGTCGATTTAATCATGTGATAAAGTACAATCTTTTGGGTAAAACTAGAAATAACTTCAAATTGAGTTGAGTTGAGTTGTATAATTTCATTCTTCACAGAGGTCGGATGATAATATTTGGAAAGCCAGGTATTGTGGATTATTGAGTTGGATCTGCTAATCTTGCATATTAATAGCAGCCAGTTGGCCTGCTCGTTTGATTGTTGGAATCACACAAGCAAGGGGTAACTAGAGTAGCAGTTGGCTGCCAACTTTTCAATTACTATATTTGGTATGATTTACTGAAGGTGGGCTGGTTGGATTGATTACTGCTAGATGGATCGATAACTGTTGTAGCGATGAATTCACTCGCCCTCAAGCTAAGAATATATGTTTGATCCATCTTTGAGCAAGAAAAGAAAGGTGTCAAATTGTGATTGATCAAGGGATTTAGTTAGGATATTTGTAATTTGAATTTTAATAGTTTGTAATTAACTTTGATGATTCCTTGTTTAGTTTTCTCCTTTATGAAGTGTTTATCAATTTCAACATGTTTAGTTTTATCATGGTGAACATGATTTATTATCAATCTTAATAGTAGCTTAATTGTCACGCCTCATGATTGTAAATTTTTATAATAGAAAATTGTAAATCCTCGATGAGGCATTTAACCAACACACCTTTATAAGTACCATGGACCATGTTTTTAAATTCTGCTTTAACATTGTTTGTTTCTCCACTAACTTGATTTCCTAATATGAATAAGCTATATAACTTGATGTGGATTTATAAAAATCAGTGATGATTTTTATACTTGTGCTAGTCCTGTTGTTGAGGAAGAACTCTTTTTTAGATTCCTTTTTGAGAGTTCTTAATACTATATATGCTGCATCAATTTGATCCTTTGTGGGATTGTTCATGTTTTAATCGCTTTTATAATAATTAGAACTGATAAATCATCAAAAAATAATCTTGACCGGGCATGAATCTCGAGGAAAAATCAAGTTGGAAACTTCAAAAATTAAATCGGATACCATGTGAACTCCGATTCCAGCAAACTTTCAATGGAACTGAACGCCTCGGAAATACGAAACCAACGACACCAAATTCAACTCAATCTAAGCCCAAATGAGTCCAAATCAAAGACCCGAAGTGCATTTGGAAGGTTCAATCCATAATTTGGATTACCAAACAGTTTTCAAACGTGACATGCTTATAGTCGAATCGAGCAGCTCGACGAGATGAATCCAATGAGCCCTTCAATGAGCCCAAGATCATCAAATTCTGATATCATTAAGAAATTCAAATGCCCAGTAAATGGTCTACTATCAAGGGAGTCAACATCGGCCGTCTATTCAAACCACTCCCAGTTTACCCTTGATATTCCTCTTATTTATTGGTCATGTCACTCTTAGAAAACGATAAATAGACCCCTCGTTTCTCATAAGAGGGGACCCAAGCAAGAAGAAAAGAGAATGAAGCAAGGAAGTATGAAGAGATGTAAGAAAAGAAAGAGAAGGAAGAGAGCTCTCTTGCCACTAGACTCCTCGACACCATCGGACTTCTACCTGGCAGCCGACCTACTCTGGAGTTCTGTCCGACAACTGACTGACGTCGGAGTTTTGCCCAACTGCGAACTGACGTCGGAGCTTTGCTCGACAGCCAATTGACGCCAGAGTTCTGTTTGACAGCCGACTAACGCCAGATTTCTGTCCGATTGTCAATTGAAGTCGGATTTTTACCTGACCACCAAACGTCGCTGGATTTCTAATCTTTGTTTGTAACTGAATTTCAACCAGGGAGTTGATTATTGTAATCTGATCGTTCTCAATTTCAGGGATGAGTCAACCATTTGTAATAAAAGCAAACACTAGTGGAATCCTTTCAACTGGGCGTGACCTCATGATTTTTCCCTTTTCCAAGGTTTCCACATAAAAATTATGGTGTTACAATTTTCTTCTGTTTGTGTGTTGGATATCTATACAACGCTGAGACGAAAATTTTCTAACTTTATCGCCGTGTATATTCTAGCCCGCAACAAGAACATCTGATTAGTTGAATAGGATCAGATGAGAATTGTAAGTGTGAATAATTTTATTGAGATTTGGAAGATTGAAAAAGTGACTTAGGAATTGAATTTGAAAGGAAAATTGATAAGGTTAGGTTTGCTTTTGAGGGCGGAGCAGTGCTGGTGTGGGGAGCAATGCAACATTAAGCTCTCTATATGATGGAAGAAAGATTTGAAGCCCTTGGGGGCTTTGTGGCACTGCCTTCTCTTTTTGGTGGAAAGCACTGTGACACTGCTTTGCTAGGGTCTTGGGTTAGGGGAAGATTACATAAATGAGTAATCCTTAGGAGTGTGACATTGCTGTTGGCCAAATTTTAGAGTTTTTATATAAATATCTAAACCCACTCCCCCAAAGCCCATACCCCTCATTCATTTGGCCTAGAGATAAGAAAAGAAGGGAAGAATAGAGGAGGAGAGAGAAAGTAGGGTTTGAGACTATAGCTGATTTCGTCCATTGTGCCAATTAAGAAAGGTGTTTATCTCTAGATATGTTATCATTATCCTACATCTATTTTCAATGACTTGGATTTCTATAGGATTTTTGGGATTTTATTTAATTAGATGTTACAAAAGATGTAGTATCTTAATTTCTAGTTACCTTTCACCATGTAACTTTTAGTATGTTATAGATCTGATCATTCTGCACATTTTGACATAATCATATTGATGTTTCGCTAGAAATTTCTGTATTTAATATTTGATGCACTCTCTAAGAAAAGTAAGATAAATATGAAATTGATAAATAACTAATACGTTGAGATTTGGTCAAATGATTGACATGACATGCATAATTGATATGACATGCATAATTTACATGATATGATCAAATTGGCTACAACATGCATATTTGTATTGATCCACTTATTGAGTAAGCATATATGAAAATGAGTATTGCATTGATTCATGAATATTGTTATTATGATTTGCATGATTCTGCCTATACACAAGAAGTATGATGTACATGTATATTTGTTATGAATTGTGTGCATGCAAGAAAGGCTGGCCACTGAATGAGACTGATGTAGATGGGTAGAAACATAATAGGATACCGCATATGAGGGTGGACCGATGAACTTTCCTTTAAATGAACACAATATATGATGTGATGGAAGGTATAAGGGGATATAATATGATAATGGCTGGAGTGACGACTCTTATATGATGCTACATTACTATGATTATGATTAGTACGATATGATATGATTGATATTTTACTGAATATGATATTATACAGGGATAACTGATATGATATAATTAGCTAGAATCCTATCTTGCTTATGATATATATATGTATATGATATTATGATTCCTTGATATGATGATTCACATGATACAATAGATAATGATATGATGATGTAAAGAACATATTACATAATGATATATGATTATTGTACCAACTCTATTCTGCATATGATTTTTTTATACATGATGATTTCATACGACATATAGCACTAACGTGCATGATAATGATATGATGCCCATGATGGCATCTAATCATTGTGATAGCTTTGTTCTGCCTATCATAATCATGTACATGTTAATATTATATGATTATTGTTCTGTCATACACAATAATGATTCTAATATGATGCAATGCACAATATTATACATATGATAATGATACTTCTGATATGATATAATGTATAGTATTTATACATATGAATATGATATGATGCATAGTATTGACATAGATGAACTTAATGATATCTATATACTTAGTACATATTACGATACCTTTGCATGATCATCAGAACAAACATGACATATGATTCTAACATGATGATTTTGATCATATTTACATTGTGATTGATACATGTCTAAGAATGAACATAAAAGTGTGAGGCTGATCAGGATTCTCCAGATTCTATTTTTTTTGTACTCAGGATAGAGTAGTTATGATTTAATTATGTAGAGCTTGAGTAGTATATATGATTTTTGAAAATAAATATAGATGCGTACATTGATGTTTTAAATTATAGAATATGTTGTATTGTTTATTACATATAGATGGTATTATATAACTCTAGTTGTTGTTTATTAAAAGATTAAAATAATAACTCTTCCAAAATATATTCTGGAGTATCACAGTACATATGGCAGCCCCCCTTGGCATATCAATACTCTGCCCCCCCAAAGACACACTTTTCCCTCAAGGTTGAAGGATGTGAATTGTCTTCTGAACATCTCGTATGGCTCACAGTGGCCTCATACTCTAGCAAATCCTTCTAGTTGATTAGTACCTCTTGTGTTCTTGTTTCTTCTTGACACACCCCTTCTACTC